TTATCAAGAACATTAGAAAACTGTATAATAGAATACAAAGATCTTAGTAGCTGCAAAACTCTGTAACAAAACTAATAATGAAACAAATAGAAGGCCTAGTAGCAAGACTAAACAGAAAGGATGAACTAGACCAACTAACAAAATTGAAAATAATGCAGAGTTGTTAAAGAGCAAGTTTGATAAAAGATATATAGAAAGTAGAAAAACTGCCAGAAGATAAGTCATAGTAAAAGAACAATCTAGTCTGCTTGATGATAGTCAAAGCAAGAGAGTTAGGAATAAATATAAATACAAAAAGTAAACTATAGACAACAAATAGTTATAGTCTTAGAGTAATTGAACTAGTAAAACCACAACTATAGAAAAAAAGCAGACCCAAAATAAGTGAAGCAGGACTCATATATCTAAACCAACTACTCGATACAAAAGAAGAAAGACTAATAACATAATAGCAATTCAAAACCTATCAGAATCAGTCAAGCAAAGACAAAAAGGCAAAGTAGTTCAAAATGATAAAGACAAAAGTGCTTAACGAAACCAAAAGCAAAGAAGTTAAAAAACAATTTAAAACAGGTAAATGCAACACACAGGCAATGAAAATCAAGTGAAGAACCTTGTCAAAGGATAAAAGAAAAAAAGAATAGATAATACATGGTGCAACAGAAAATAGAAAATAGAAAAAATAGTCAAAAAGAAAAAGAATAAGCTATTAATAGAACATTGGCAAATGCATAATATAGAAAGTAACTAAATAACAAAAATTGACAAATGCAAAAAGTGTTCAAGAGATGAAGAAACAGAAGAAAATAGCTGCCAATATTAAATAAGAATCAATAATAATATAAACACAGTTCCAGATGTGCTAATAGGGAAGAACAATAATATAATCAAGACAGCTACCAACCAACTAATAGGATACATAAAAACTAAGAAAAAATGAACAGAAACTAATAAGACTAAAGATACTAGAAAGCCTAGAAATAAAACTAATTAGAAAACAAAAAATAAGAAAGAATGTTAGTCAAGAGCTAGTAGAGATCCTAAAAAAAAATATACTAAGAAACAAAAACAAATATACAATATATACAGATAGTGCAGCAAATAAAAAAAATAAAGAAGAAGTAACAAACAAAAACATGGGTGTAGGTTAGGTACAAATAGCTGAAGCACAAAATTGGTCAAAAAAAGAGGTAGTATTAGGAGTAAAAGGATGACTTATGTCTACTACAGCTGAGGTGCTAGCAATATGGGCAGCAATCTTAATGATGCCAAAAGGGAAAAAATTAGTAATATTTACAGATAGCAATGCAGCAATTAGAAACATTAATAAAGAATTAGCATGTATAGATAAAAACAAAGTTCTTAAAAAGAAAAATGTATTATGGGTATTGAAGATAATAGATATAGTAAAAACAAAGAACATATAGATAGAATGGATCAAAGTTAAAAGTTATAACAAAAATAGATGAAATAATAAAGCTGATAGCCTTGCGAAGAAGAGAACATTAAGTAGAAAAATAATTTTTTCAGAAAAAGTTAGCTATGAAGAGATAGAGTACTGCCTAGAGTAGGAAACAAGTGAATAGATATACCTGCAAAACTTCTATATAAAATAGTAACAAATACCAGACTAGAAGTAAAGTGGAAATAAATAATAATGATTAAGAATATTGAGCCAGAAGCAGAAATAATAATATATAATTAGGCATATTTTTGAAAAAGGCTAGATTCATCTAAAGGAGTACACTGTCTAACAAGAAAAAGCAGTACAAGAAAGAGTGCTTTTATGAAATGTATACTGAACAAGCTTCTGACATTGAAAAAACTTAATAGAAGAAGGCCAGATATATATACAATAGCAGAATATTAAGTTTACTAAAGCAAAGTTAAAGAAATACAAGAACACTTGGCATCATGTAAGGGACAAGCAAATCTATAAAAAAGGATACAGAAAGTATCTATTGTAACAACATAGAATAGTTTAAAAGAAGAAGAAAAAATATGAGTCCCATTTCAAGTATTATATACAGCACTCTTTGAACAAACAGAGCAAAAAGAAATAAAAATAAGAAAAGCACTAATCAAAGGCCTAATCTTAAGAACAACACAAAACAGATTATCTCAAATCTTAAATATGAAAACAAGACAATATTTTGCAAACATATTAGCAGAAACAACATGGAATACATTTTATGAACAAGTCTGGAGAATCTGTTGCAAAAAGGTTAACATATGAAAAAAAGAAAGAGGAATAACAAATAAAGAGAAAAAAAGAAAACTAAAAAGAAAAGAAAAAACAAGTATAAAGAAGAAAAGAAAGGCTAATCAGCAAGCAATAGAAGAAAAGAAAAAGAAAGCAAAAGAAAAAGAAGAGCAAATAAAAAAAGAAGTTAGAAAACAATTAACAAGCTTGTCATGAAAGGATAAAGATCTTTTTATTATGGACTTTAAGTAGTTAGACAAGCAGCTTATTTCTGCTAGAAGTAATGCAACAGGTTGCACTTAGGTGCTATTAGAATAGCTGGGTGATGCTAGGCTTAGTTGTTAGGTAAATTTATGTAATTACAGTAGTAGTTTCAAAAATCTTAATAAAACACTAGTGTAACTGCTTAAAAAAAAAATAATAATAATAATAATAATAAAAAGCTTTGATTAGTTTTATAAGACATGAAATAGGCTTTTGATTTAGTATTATTAACAGTCTTAAAGACAATTATAAAAGAATTAAACTTTCAAAAATAATAATCAAAATAATCTTAAATACAAACAATTTAAAATAATTATATACTGAAAACATATAGGAGTATTTGTAATAAATAATAAAATAGAATAAAATAAGATTTTTTTATCTTTAATATAAAGAATATTCTATAATCTTTTATTCAAAAAAGTTTAAAAAACCCAAAACTAAATTATATGATGAAAGTCTCAATTTTATATAATAATAGTTTAAACTATTCAATAAAAACAAGTTAAAGACAAGCAATAGTAGCTTTTGCAAACAATACAACTTGAATAACAAATAGCAGAAAGCAAACAGAACAGATATTACAGATTGCAAAAAATTTTTTTAAACTAAATGACATTCAAATAAATGAAAAAAAGTCAAAGTTGATTATTATGAATTTGAAAAAATCTAAAGAAAATAAAAAAATCAAACATAGTAATAAATAAATATATGAAAAAAAAACTAAAATTACAAGATTTTTAGAAATTTGACTCAACAACAAATGCAATAAAAATTAAATCAAGTTAAGAGCTAAAGAATTAGTGCATTTAACAAGACTTTTAAATACCAAAAAAAAGACAAATGCACAAGTACTATATATAAACAACATGTATATAATAATAACAATACAAAATTAATTTGGTTGAATGAACTTATTCAATAAATTTAATTCAGAATCTGATACAGAATTTAAGTCCTATAAATGTATGTAATTTAACGTTAAAGGATCGAGTCCAAGGCTGTTTTTTTAGATCCTAGAATCGAATTCGTAATTTAACATCTCTACTAATTAGATTTTTTTGAATAATCATTGCCAATAAGATTACTAAATTGGGTGTAACATAAAAATTACACTTTTTTTACAAAACACTAATTTCTGCACTCTAATAAAAAAAATTATTCGTGAAATTTTGGTATAGAGCAAGTATATTGTAATTTTTATTCTAACCCTAACATGAGGTTTTAGTACTTTAAAATATTACGCATATTAAAGTTGTGATTATTCAAAGATCTGATTGGTGCATATATGACAATCTTTCATAGTTTTATTTATTTAAAAAGAACATTCATTTACAAAAATTAAAATTTCAATTTTAGCATTATCACTGATAGTGATACCACCATCTCTTATTTCTTTTAGCAAATTTAGGGTTAGGATACAATTTTAGACCAAAGTTAGAATTAAATATAAAGGTCTAAATTTTAGTTAGGGTATTGAAGTCCTATGACATGTGTTATCGACAGCAATTGACCAATTAGATTACAAGATAAGATGTAACATGAAAATTTTAGGTGTCATTATAATTATAGACCTGACACTAATATAAAATTTTGACTTTAAAAAAATTGAAAATCTATTGGATGGTTATATCACTACTGATAGTAATAACAATATTCTACGTACGCACATATATAAATTTTTTATAATTAACCAATCAAATTATACAATTCTATATAACAATTGTGCAGATAATATTCAGATACATAGTATAGTTTTCATAAACCTTATACTAATAAATAAGAAAATTTCTTATGTATTATTCAGTTAAGCAGTTTATGCAATTAGCCTTAGTAATCAATCTGGTTCTAAAATTTTGTATTGATTTATACAGGCTTGACTGTATATTGTATATCACTAAGAGATAATGAAACTTTTTTAAAGAATTGTATAGAAATCTATATTATAATTATAAATGTCTATTTGTACTGTAAACATATTATATATATTATCGAAAGAAGCTTTGATTATATATAAACTAAATTATCAAAACTTAATAAACCATCAATAAATAAAGCAATGAAAGATCCAATTATCAATTCTAAACAGTTAACGTGAATGTCTGAAGTAGCAGCAGTGGTGACTGAAGGTGTAGTTGAACTTTATATTACCAACAATAGTAATAATAATAATATTGATAATTATTATTACATATATAATGATTAGTTAAAAACATCAGTAAATCAGTATTGATAAAATATGGACATGAACAATATGGGCCTTTGATCATGAACATTTATGGATTATGTCCATATTGTCCATATTTTTTTTATTGAACATTAGACATTTGAGATGAAATTATAAAATATTTCGGAAAATTTTAGCAAAGAAGATATGGACATGAACACTATTTGGATTAGTTCATGTCCAAGTTCATATAAAATTTTTATTAAACATAGTCTAAATGCCAACACTGTTTTAAATAATAATCAACCAAATATATATATACTCACGATTTACTACGTGCCGTACCAGTGGGGCCTAGTGCATTAGGTTTTAAAGCTGATGATCCAGCAGATGCTCCAGATAGTGCTGGTCCATTAGATGCAAGTGCTTTAGATGCAGATAGTGCTGTTGGTTCAGCAGGTCTTCTAGAAGGTGCTGGTGGTCTGGCAGATGCTTCAGATGCAGATGGGGTACCCTTAAGTTCAGAAAATCCTGGGTTAAAGATCACTTCCGACCCTATCCAGATCCAATAAAATTACATAATCTTGTGTAACAAACCAACCGCGAAAAACATAAGAAATTGTAAAAAAATATAAATAACACAAAAATTTACTATAATAACTAACTTCCAACCTCTAAGTAAAAGTTTTCAAAATAAAATTTTACTTATAAAACACAATTGTTAATGTTAGATATATAGTGAATTTTTGAGATACTACGACCTATATTCTTTTGGCTAACAGCTTAGAATTTTCTGAATATAAAGATATCCATGCAGATGTGCAAGTGCTCCAGATGCAGATGGTGCTAGTACAGGTGGTGGTGGTGCTGGCACTGGTGGAGTTGGTACTGGCACTGGTGGAGTTGGTGTTGGAGTTAGTGGTTCTGCTGATGATGTTGCTAGAGCTGGTACTAATGCTAGTGCTGGCACTGATGGAATTGATGTTGGAGTTAGTGGTTCTGCTAGAGCTAGTGCTGGAGCTGGTGGTGGCACTGATGGTCTATTAGAAAGAAAAGATGTTAGGAAAAACAATAAAAAATTATCACGAATAGTTGTGAAATCAAATGATGATAAAATTTGGGTCTCAACTTAAAAATATAAACTTCACATATACTTTCATTATTTTATTAACAACTCTAAATATAGATGGGCAAAATAATTTTGTAAGTAATAATAACTTATGACTTATTTCTTACTTAATATTAAATAATATTAAATATTTATTACATTCTATTACTTATTATGTATACGTATAAAACACATGATAACAGTTGGAGGTGAGTGATCAAAATTGAGATTGAATAAAAAATTACTACTAAGAATCAAATTATTATAAATTACTTATTATTATCTATTTCACAGGAATATTAAATAATATTAAGTAATAATATATAACTGACTTTGCCTATCTTTAACTTTAACCCTAAATCCTAACTCCAAAAAAAATTTAATACTCATATATAAAATAGGTCCAATTTCACCATCTGATTTCACAATCATCTGTGACAAAAAATATTGAATTTTCAAAGTTACTTTTGAAACTTACATCTGAGCAAAAATGCCAAAGACCATAATACAAATGATGAAGATAATTGTATTTTTAATGATATTCATTTCATATTAAGATAGTTTTTTAGATTGAGCTGATAAAAATGTTAATTTAGTCTTGGCATAACTATTTCATAATGCTTGGCAAGATCCTATATTTATAAGAAATACTGTAATACTGTGGTGCACACAATCAAAACATAGTGTAGGTCATATAATAAATTCTCATTACATTTTTTTTTATAATCAACTAAAATATATAATAAAATTCAAGCTGTAATAACTCAAATCTACACAAATAAAATTATACTTGTCAGGTTTGTTTTAATATACTTTTTAAAGTAATAACACACTTTTTTCTGTTTTCTTATCAAATATCTGATATTTTTTATCTTAAACTGAAACCACTATAATAACTTTGTGTTATATGACATGCAACTGTGCATATAGAAATTTCATTACGTTTTTAATTTTTTTATTAAAAATGCATCAAAAAATGAGAATTTTGAATAAGAATTGGGAGTCTTTCATCATACTTTAGACAATAAAACAAAAAAAATAGCATTATTACTTTAAAGAGCATGTTAAAATGAACTTAACGAATATAATTTTATTTATGCAGGTTTCTGGTTAAAGATATTACAATTTGAATTTTATAACATTTGTTGGTCTATAAAAAAAAGTTTACTATATATGACCTGTACTATGTACACCCTACTGCAGTGTTGTCATGAAACATGAACACGAACAGCAGACAGTCCAGGACAGAACGTCCTGGACATGTCTGCCAATATTTTTTTGTCCTAGACAATTAAAATTATAATAAAAACAGCCATGTTAGCCAATTAGGTTGTTCGATAAAATATATTATATGAGACAACCATCATGGACATGGATATTGTCCAAGATATAGGACACTGTCCAGGACTATCCGTGTTCGTGCAATTTTGATAGGACAATGTCCGCGTACAACACTGCCCCACAATAATATGTAGATCTGGAAAAAGTAACCAGAATCAAATAATTTTTATACTATTAGATTTGTCTCATCGAATAATATAAAAATCATCTAATTCTGATTACTGGATTATAAGATTATAATATCGATATGAGTATAATGCCACACTGGAGTATAGTGATCCAAATCAGTAGTTGAAAAATCAACTAGTTGACAACTTTCTAACTAGTTGATTTGAAAAATTTTAAAAACAACTTAATAACTGAATCATTAATTAATTCAATTATAAGACATTCTGCTTGTTCGGACTAACTCATGCTAATTTCTTTTATTTGATTGGCTAATTAACAAATTTAGTCACATGATATAAAAGTTGATTAGTTGCAACTATAGTTGACAATTAGTTGATTGGCAAAATTTTTACCAACTTGGAACACTACTGAGGTATCCAATGTACTATGTAGATCAAATAGATTTATAGTCTCATAGTAAAATTTATTAGTGAATTTTTTAACAATTTTATTAAGATTTTTAAAAATTTAAAAAAAATCGTAGCTTTTTATTAAAATATAAAGTCTATTGAGCAATTGAGTAAAATTTTTAGAAAAGTTAATATGTAAAATTTTGAGAAGATACAATTTGAAATCCAAGAAATTTTAATAATATCATTATAAGAAGATATCAAATTTCAAATCATATCTTCTCAAAATTTTACATATTAACTTTTCTAGAAATTTTATCTAATTGCTCAACAAACTTTATATTTTAATAAAAAGCCATAGTTTTTTTTAAAATAAATTATTAAAAAAATTATTTAATTTTCAATGGTTTTGATGAATTTGTATGATACATGTGACTGCAATGAATGCAACAAAGATGAGAGTAGGAATGCAGAACATTTTTTACTAAGTAAATTGAACTTAGAGCATTCTCAAGTGCCTTAATCAAAGATCAAAAAATGTAGTGAATAAATTTTACTTAGCAGAAATATTTTTAGCAAGTCAAGTGTGTTTAATTGTAATGATATATAAATAATATGCATAGTTTGCTAAAAGCATAAATAAAATATTTTATAAAAGAAATATTAACAAGAGATCAATTTACAAACTTTTTACTATGATATATTTTTTTTATACATGACTGAGAAGATCGCTCAAAAAAACTTTTCTATTAATTTTTATTTTTAGCATCTATTGCAAATAGTTATCAGTTTTGAGTCTTTATTTATACAGAACAATTTTAACTATTAGAGGTCTGCAACCCAGACTTGTGCCTATGTACAACAAAATCTAGGCATGAGCATAGGTACAAAAACTTAGACATAGGCATGGGCATAGACACAAAAAACTTGACATGGATATTGGCACAGAAATTTGATATTTATTATTTAATTATACTTGGCACTTTGCTTAGCATTTGTACTCAGCTTTTAATAGTACCTAGCACTTTTGTGCCTATAGGTACAGGCATGGGCATAAGGCACTAGTGCCTGACCTAATGCCAATGTGTCAGCATGAGCATTAACAGACCTCTATTCAACTATTCTACTGACAATTTCTTTATTTGATTCAATAAATAAAGACCTGAAACTAGTAAATTCTGAGTTGGTGTTTTTATATTTAACTGATATATGGATTTATAATACTTTTTAACAATACTTTATGTTATTCTTGAATAATAAAGATAACTAAAGTTGATGTTTCATTAGAATTTCAAAGTTTTTTTATTATAATTCACAATCAAAGTCAAGAATAATAAAACTTGAACAAAAACTAATTGTTCAAAAACTGTATTTAAAAAATTAATACTTAAAAATTTGAATAAATGATTGATTACCAAAAACAGTAATAGTAATAATTCAATTGATGCTTAATGAACAAACAAATAATTATCAAAACAGTGATAATTGATATTTAAACAAATAACTGATTATCTAAACTGTAATAGTAACAATTAATATAAAAACTTAAACAAAAGTCAATTATCTAAACTGTAATAATAGAATTTCAATAACAAATCAATACTTTATTATATATACAATTGCATATACAATTATGCATTTAAGTAAATATTGAATTGTCAATGATAAACAAAATTATAAACTGTTAGAGACTTATCAAATTAGCTAACCTGATCAACTGAATTAAAATTATTGACTAAATTTAATTATTCTCTTTAAAATTATTAGATAATTTATTTACTATTCTTTTATTAACTTTTGTTTTAGTTATAGTATTTTGTAATTCTCTAATTACAAGATTATAACATAGAGTTCAGTTTTGTTTTAATAAATTATTTACTTAAAGTTGACAATTATATATAAAGTACCATTTTTTTTCAAAAAAAAAGTAAAATTGTATAATTAATAACACATTATTTTTTTTTATTATCTAAATATACCAAAATTATTAAAACAAAAATATTATATGAAATATATAACTTCACAAAATAATGAAATTTGACAAAAGGGTATGGGTCCCATAGCTTAGCGGTTAAGCTCCCATGCCCCCACAGTCAAGGTCAACGGTTCAAGTCCGGCTGGA